GATATAAATATATATATATTCTGCGGGAATTGCTGGATATAATTCTTAGTATATAATTAATAGAAATCTACTATTAATCGAGGCTTACCTTAATAAACTTTAAACAGGATATTATAGCCAACTTGGAATCCACATTACTATTTTAAATTAATAAATTAAATTCTTTGAAATTATATAATAATAATAATAATAGTTATAAATAATTTAGTAAATTTAAACTAGATTAGATATTAAATAGTCATTGATATCTATATTAATCGTTTCGCTGATATCTATATAAACTCTAAATATAATAGCTTATCAGTGCCCGCCTATCGTGATATGTACAACAATATCCCAACCACTAGTGGACTAGAACGTCGTACTGTACCAGTCATCTTTCAGTCTTAGGGGGTGGATTATCAACTATTAACCATTCTGGCCTTATTAATACATATAAAGGTATATTAAAGGCGCATAAAAAAAGCTATAAATAATATGCAATCCACCATCTTGCTATGAGCAATTCAGTAAATATCTAGCAGGCCGCCATTCAGGTCGCTAAAAGACCTTCAAGTAGGACCGTTTCTAACGGGTGAACCTTCGCCACATCTGATCTCGAAGCCAATCATTCTGCTCTGCGCTCCCTATGTAATCGCCAACTCCGCCCCAAGTAGCAAAGTACTGACCCCGACTTCCCATGTCCGACGCCATTCCAAGAAATTTGGCAGTATCTGTGACTGAATTTATGTCGAAGCCTTTTGCACTCATGGACTGCATGCTGCTCGCAAAATCACCGCCGTCACCACCAATGATGGCCCCCGCACCGCCGAATTGCCTTTTGATAACATGTTCCACAATTTGTGGACCATATCTTTTCGTGATGTCCCATGCAAACTCTGCGAACCGGGCCAAACCACCCGGGGCTGCGGGATCATTTCCGGGTGGCTCGGTAGTAGGGGGGCTGGTAGGAGTGGTCGACGCTTGCGCTCCGGACCGCGGTGACTCAGTGGATCTCGAATGACCGGAACCTCCTGATGATGTGGTTGACTGAGCCCCGGATGGCTCCTGGTCATTCGTGCCTCCATCCCCAGCAGGCCAAAAGACCTGGCCGGCAACCGTAGATTCGAGTCCCATCTTCATGTTGAGTTCATGTAGGATCAGCGGTTGAACGATAGGAATCTCACCGCAGTAGACTCTGACCATCTCCCTAGCCTGGGCAGCCAACCGCTCCGCGTCCGTATCCCAGTGCAGTGTCTCGTCTGTTTCAACTCCAGCAGAATACACCTTGCCAAACTGATAAGTCCGGGCCCCGTTCGCGATGAAGTCCCGCCACTCCTTTTCTTTCTGACGGACCAGGAAATCATTATACCTTTTCAGCTGGGCGGGGTTATGTGTCTCCCAGAAGGTCGTCACAAATGTCACGTACTTCATGAAAGGCGTCCCGCTCATCCCGAGCAGCCAGGTATATAGTTTCTTCTCAAAGGAATCGGGCTGACGCTTGAAGATATTGATGGGTGTTACGAAGAAGATTGCGATGATTACGGCGTGCTCTCGGATCTGGTCGAGGAGTTGGGCGATTTCGCAGAATGTACCCCATGCGCCGCCCTCGTCTTCGAATCCGGGGGTGTCAACGACGAAATGTTCGGTTTCGTTGATTTGAATATCGATTATTTGGCATCGTTCCGTTCCTACTTGAGGATGGGCAATTGGTTAGAGCTAGAGGCTTTGAATTGTCGAGGCAGCAGATACCTGTTTCTGAGGCCCCGGAGAGACCAGATGTCCCCGTGATGTGCTCTGCCAGCGAGGATTTTCCGACGCCTGGTTTACCAAAGAGCAGTATAGTCCTCGCGCCGCCTCTCTTGTAAGCTTTTATTTTCTCAAGGCATCTCTCTGTTCTCTTAGTGTTCGCGGACTCGTGATACTCCATTATGGTGGGAAAAGCTCAAGCTGAAATGATGTCGGTACCATAGGATACGGTGAAGGAACTGTAATGCGGGATGATTGCTAAGGCGCTTTCCACTACCACTTCAGTTAAGATTTTGTGTTCCAGAAAGGACTGATTTGGACTGCATCCAAATGGGAGTGAGGATTTATCTACTCCTTGGCCAACTGGAGCCACGTAAGCATGCCTCGGTGAGCGAAGTCTTGATCCTGTTTGGTGCAGAGCTCAAGACTCCAACTTCGCAACAATTTCTGCCTTTTTATCTGACCACCATTGGCATGCAGCCGCCTCGGAACAGACATAGCGTTGCTTTGCCATTCGTGGTGAGGACTAGGTGGCGCAAACGATTGGCAGCAAGACATCGGTGCTCACACAGCCTCAACGAGCGACAAAGAATGGGAGAGAACGTGTTGCCGCCAGCCTGTTGCTCTCCAGGACTCTTTGATTGACGGCAGAGCGAGCCGCAGTATGCCACACTTTGACACCCCTATGATCTGAGTCTTGCTGAATAGCTTTTAATTGCCTTTTTCTGCCCCGAGATCTCGCAGCTTCAAGAATCTGAATATTACTATTATCTAATCTAATAGGTACCATAACGTAGCCGGCAACCGAGCGTTCCGCGCAACCAAGCGTTCCACCTCACGCGTTTTGACCATGGTTAAAAAGTCTACCTAATTCAACCACCAACTATGCTACCAAAAGCGCTTAAAAATTTAAAAGAATTAATTAAAAAGAAAGGCAAAGTTCTACTTACTATCTTAATTATTAAAAAACAAGAAATTAACTCTATTTATAAAGCTACACGTGTTTTTAATCTTATTTCTACTATTATATACCATCGATTATCTAGTATTTCTATACGCAATGAAGTGCGTAGTAATAGTTATAAATTAACTTAGAATAAGAAGAATTCTTTAATATACTGGGTTCTATTATTAGATTAATATAAAGCGCCTCCTTAGTCTACGTATATATAAAAAATAGCTAATATTCTATTTACTAAACGTAGTGATCCTATATCTAGTATTATAAATTAAAAATAGATATCTTATCTAGTTTAGTATAAAAATAAATTGAAATTCTATTTCTCTCGCCGCTACAACTATTAACGCGTTAAATATAAAAATCCTAAGTTTTTACGTAAGTAATTTAAACGTGTATAAATTACTATAATATAGTATAGGATTTAACTAAATAATATCTATAATTTTAATAAAATTAGTTTTATAATAAATTTAATATTTATTATTAAAGTAATTACTTAAGTTAAGTTAGCTAGTAAATCTTTTCTTT